TCTTTCCCTTAGGTCTACCCTAACCCAGACATGGATCTTTCCTTCTGGTTTTTTGTACTCAACGATCCAGCCGGGCTCCCAGAGCAGTCTCGTACTGCCCTGCCCAAGGCGCTATGGCACACAGCGGAGAGTCGGCCAGACTCGCGGTATTTCACCAGGGATGGGAGGCCGGCTGGTCACAGGAAAACGGAAGATTCAGCGTGCTCAGACACGAACAAATCACGCCCAAACCAACGAGCATATGAAACTAAAACTGGCCCTGGAAATCCACACGGGAAACACCGGCCAGGAGCCACAGGGCCTGCGGCGCGTCGACCACTGCCCTACCATACCTACGCACGCGCGACAGCACTAGCGCAAACATAGTACCGCTCTCGCAGACCCAGACTTGGGCGGGCGCCGACGCCGTGCGCATGCTCCAGCAGCGCGCATGCGCGTCCCCGGCAGTTGCCTTTTCTCTGTAGTCCCCTGCCCTCTCGCCCTGATGCCGGAACCAAACGCTGGGTACCTCAGCCACGGCCCTCACTCTGCATTCCTCACCTTGCGCCCGGTTTTCTCCCGTAGGGCCTTCAGCCGTTCCTTTCGCCGCAACGCCTCTTCCTCCAACCGGCCCACACCGGCCGCAGTAGCCGCCATCTTGCCCGCAGACATCCCCCCCGCCCCCACTCTTCTCTGGTCCCGCAGCGCGCAGGCCCAAGGTGTTAGACGAACCCCTCACGGCCAATCCAGGGACGAGAATGGGAGAGCAGGAAGTCCTGAAAGCCAACCAATGCTGAGTTGCTACAGGAGGACCCGCCCTCTTCCTCCCCCGCAAAACGTCTAGCTCTCCGGGGGTCGGCAAAGAAGGCGCTAAGGCTCGATTCGTCCAATGCCAATCAGGGAAGAAGCGGCAAGAGGAACCAGACCTGAGTGAAGGAGGATAGAGCGCGTCAATCGCTCTGGTTTTACCTAAGCGCCAACCATGCTGGCCACTTGGAATGCGCTGACCCATCTTTGTCCACTTCTCCTGATTCTTAAAGGCTCGACTGCTTTCACGAAGCCTTCCCTCTCTACTCTGATCCCAGCCTAAGAGGTCTGCCTCTCCTTTCCTCTTAAGCTATCTGTGGCTTCCTGGATGCACTTGTTCATGGGCCTCTGGGCCCTTCTCTGTCCACTCTCAGCTCAGACAAAACCTAAGCAGAGCAGGGCTTGGCTGAATGGCCATTTTCCTCTGGGTTCATGGATGATCCCCTCCCACCCCCAACCCCCCGCCCGGCCCCCGCCCCCGGGGTGGCAAAGTACCCAGGGTCAGACTACCTAACCTGGAGAAGAGCAAACCCCAGCTTGGGCCCAGTGGGCCCTAAGGGACCACCCTGAGCTTAGTTCCTGAGAACTGAGCTGAGAGTTGGTTTGCCCTCCGCCAATAGGTGCACTGCCTCCCAGCAGGAGCTGCCAGGGTATCCTTTCCCAAGTCAATTACCATGCCCTGACAACCGAGAGACCACTTTGGCTGAAGTCAGTATCTTCTGACAGCCTATCCAGGTCCCCAGAGCCACATCTCCTCCCACCTAGGGAGAGTGACTTGTGTCTCAGCAAAGCTGTTCCCTGCTTGTGGCCTCCCTTCCCAGGCTGACAGCAGGTGGACACCCACTCCTGGCTTCCCAGTTCCCTTCAGAGACCCCCAGTGCCACAGACCCCTGTCCAGCTGGCCCCCACAAACGACCTTCTTGACCTCTGTAACTTGGGCCTTTTGGTGCCCTCTCCCCTGCATCAGGTGGGGTGCCCTGCCAGGGCCTGGTATGCAGGTAGTACCCAATACACATGTAATAAGTGTTCAGGAAATGTCAGAAGTAGGATGGATGGGGCAGAAGAAAAGGCCAGAGTGGAGGAGATGCCCAAGAAGCCAGGAGGACAGAACAGGATAGGTATGGGGACAGAGTCTATCTCTTCTTGGCCACCCAAGGTCTAGGGGGCTCCAGGCTGGTCAGTTCCTCCAATTGATGGTAACTCTCTGGGTCCCCAAAACTTTCCCCCCAGCCCCAACAAAGGGCTTCAGCCCTGCCCAACACCATGGGCCCTCCTCACCTCCCAGGGAGGGTAGGGGAAGGTGGGGGAAGAGGCCCAGGGGTGATGGTGGCAGTGGTGCTGGAAAGTCAGGCCTCTGTCCCTGTCCATGCTGCCCAGGTGGTCCTCATTTGGCCCATCTGGGCCCCAGTTACTCTGCCTGTTAAACAGAAGCATGAGGTACCCTTTAGCCTTTAACCTCTTGAAGTTAAAGAAAAAAAATGTGAATCAAGTGCTGAGCCCTGGAGTGAAGGGTGCCTCCATTTGGAGTATCTGGGAAGGCTTCCTGGATGAGGGGATCCAGGCGAGGGAGGAGTACCTAAATCTTCCAGGGATCTGCCCAACAGATGGAGGGAACTGCTCCCCCGGAGTTATTTCAGGCTTGTCTTGCTGGTTTCTGATCCGCCCCTCCTGCCCCCGCCCCGCACTCCTGCCACACAATCCTGCTCCACTAACAACAGGATTAAAAAAGTGACACTTCGGTCTCCCCATAAGCGCCTGGCATGTGGTAAACTCCACAAGTGGTTGTCACGGTTGTTGTCCCCGTTAGTTATTGAAGGACCCTGCCCATCTGCACGCGGCCCGTAGACCCTTCCCCCAATCCCGCGAGCCTGTCCCTTCCACGAATGGTGGCCATTCCAGCCAGGCGGGCTGCGTCCCGGTTAGATCTAGACGTAGGGCAAATCTGGAATCCCTGACCCAGACCCTAGTCCGGGAGGCTCAGATTGGCCTTTCCGGAGGACGCGGATTGCGGGGGGCGGGGCTGCTGGTTGCCCTCCCGGGCCGCCCTGACCTCAGGCTCCTCCTCCTGTCTGGCTCCCCGCCCTTTGCACTGTCCCGGGATAGGCGGGGCGGCGGTGGCTGCTGCAGAAGCGCAGGAAGCCGGGCGGTGGCCGACCGGGAGGAGGAGGAGCGCGACGGCGGCCAGTACTACTTCCCTCAGTAGTACCGCGCCGCTCCGCCCTGGAGTGACGCCCTCCGCCCATGGGCCTGGCCGAGGGCAACCGGCGGGCGGCGCGGAGGAGGCGGCGGCGGCGGCAGGTGGCGTGCAGCAGGGTTGGAGCCTGGTCGGGCCATGGCCGCCTCGGAGCGGCTCTACGAGTTGTGGCTACTCTACTACGCGCAGGTGAGCCCGCGCCCGCCGTGCCCACAGCTCCGCGCGCCCGGCGTCTGCTGCACCTGCGCCTGGCGCCACCTGGGCCGTGTATACCCACGCGCCGGGCGTGCGCGGGCTCCGCACGCACGTGTGCGACCCCGGCCGGCTGGTGCCTCTGGCACTTATACCTGGGGGTCGGCCCTCGCGGGCGCGCACCTTACAAGAGCCTCTTGGGTGGGGACAGTGCAGCCTCGGTTGTCCCTGGGGAGAGGGGCCTGGACCAAGACAGGGCACTTACCCCTTTTACAGATGGGGAAACTGAGGCCTGGGGGAAAAAAAAGGCTGGCCGGGTCGGAAGGGGCGGGAGGCTTACTTTGAATTTGGGCGTGCCACTCCTGTGGGCGCAGCCCAGTTGGGTGGTCGCCCGATGGGTCTGAGTGGGCTGGGGGTCTCCAGGCATGCAAGGGGGGCGTCTGACTTGAGTCAACTCCTCAGATACCCTGCGGTGAACTGCCGGTTGTGAGCTCCTCCTTGACCCCAGGTGGCCCCACCCCAACCCCCGGGGGGGCAGGGTGTGGATTACGGGGGAGGGGGGGTCCAGCCCAAAGATTCGCCTTGGATGCTGGGGGTGAAAATGGGGAATGCGGGTGAGGTGGGAGGGATGTTTGAAAGGGATGGAGGGAGGCCATTTTCTCCTGAGCTCCCCGTCCTTCCTCAGAGACTACCTCAAGTGGCCTCAGAAGGTGAAGGGAGCAACTCTGACCCAGGTGTACCCCAAACTGTGTCTCGCACACATAGGCCCCCACTTTCCTTCTGTATTCACAGCAAGGAGAGAACCCAGGGTAAGGCTCCCTCTCCCCTTCATCCAGCACCAGCCTTCCTCCCTGCACCTGCCTGTCATCATACTCCTGGCTCAGGTGTGCCTTGGGCACAATGCACTATTGTGTGCCCCTGATCTCGTCACTAGGGGGAAATTCATGCTCAAATCAGCTGGCCCTCTGAAGAGACTAGCCGACTGTCTCCCAGGACTGCAGGCCAGGACTTGGGCCCCAGGGATCAGGAGTCCAGGCCAAAAGGGCCGTAGCTTCTTGAGCCCACTTAGGTGGTGAGAAGTCCAGGCACCTGGCAAGAGGCAGGGCATGGAGTAGAGTCTGTCTTTGGTGTGACCCAGGGCACGCTTTTTACACCCCTGAGCCTCTGCTTCCATATCTGTAAATTTGGCACAGTCCTGGCCTCCGGTGGCCTGGACTGTGCAGAGGGATAGCCAGTATGGCTGGTCCAGGCCAGAGAAGTTTCCTGCTTCCCTGACCCATTGGATCCCCTCACCCCAGCTTCTCTGTCTCCATCTCCAAAGGTTGGTCCTTGTGAAGGAGCAAAAGATTTGGGAGGAAACCTGCCCCTGGCCCTCATGCTTCTGATTGCCCCCGTGGTCATGGGCAGGTTCTTGGTTTTCAGTTTCTTCACCTGTGATCAGGCGACGGGGGGGGGCGGGGGAGGGCTTGAACGAGGTGACGAGACTGAGGGTTGTTAATGGTGGGTCTTCAGGCTGGGTGGCATGCTGCTGGGGAAGGGTGTCTTGGCCTGTTTCCCAGGATTGCACCTCCGACGTGGTTACCTCCTGCTGCCCCTTCTAGCTGACCTCTGCAAGTGGTCAGTCCCTCACAGGTGTTTAGCATTCATCTGTGCTGAGTCCCTTCTCCCCCTCCAGCTCCTCACCTCACAGGGCAGGTGTGGGGCACAGGCTAGCTGGTTGTAGCCTTAGAAGCCTGGGCAAGCAGGGTATGGCCTGGGGCCAGGCAAACAAATCCAGGATATGAGTGTGAACCCAGGAGCCGGGAGGGGCCAGGTTTCCTGGGGAGAGGAAGCTTCAGCCAGCCTCCCAGCACTGCCTTCCTGCTGGCTTGGTCCTGCTTCTGCTCCCGGAACGTGGTCTCCACCCTCTGTACTGAGCTCCCAGGGAGTGGTGGCTGTGCTACTTTGAGCCCTGCCAGGGACCTATTGTGTGTATTGGGGGAGAGGGGAAGATAAGGTAAGGGGTCGAACTGAGAGAGGGTATTAAGAGACCCCTGAAATGGCCAGCTACCCAGCCAGTAGGCTCCCCCAATACTTTGGCCCCTCCCTTCAACAGTGAGAGACGACATCAGCTGGCAAACCTGTTTCCCCAGTTGTGGGTCTAGGCCCGCCCTGGGAGCACCCCTGTTTCTGCCCTTCCTTTCCCCTCACAGACCCCAAGTTCGGGCCTGCTCACCCCCTACCTCTTGGGGCCACGAGTGGGTGAGGGGGCTGTGGGTGGCTACTGAAGGAGGAAGGAGGGTTAGAGTGCCCCCTGGACATCACTCAGTCTGAGCCCCTCAGAGCCTTAGTGGGGAAACCAAGGCAGGGTTGTACCAGGTCATTGGACAGGTTTGGGGCAGAGTCTGGCAGAGCTCTGGCCCAGTCTCCATCCTGTGTTCCCTTACCCAGGAAAGGTCTAGTCCTGTGGGTGGGAACACTCAGGTGGGCCTGCACCCCCGGGCGGCACAGGCTGTTTCCTCTGCCTGGAGCCTTCTCCCTCCTGTCTGAGGAGGCCTTCCCCGCCTGTTCCCGCAGCCCAAGCTGGACCTCAGCCCAGGCATGTCCCCACTTGAACCCTCATTGTGCTTGCTACTCTGCGGTTTCCCCACGCCTCACATTTAGCAGGTGCTCCTTGGGTATTAGCTGAATGTCCGGGTGACTGATCAGGGATGTCTTACCAGAGGACTGAGTTTGGGCCTGGAGGACTGAGAGCACAGGAGCAGGAGGAGCAAGCACACGGCAGTGGGAACTGTGAGCGGCAAGTTCGTTGGGTGGGTGGGGGCACATCCAGAGGACTCAACCCGGCAGGGCTTCCCCAGTGAAGGCTTAGGAAGTGGGGGAGAGGATAAGGGGACTGGGGCAGCACCCAGTAGGCTAGCAGTTGGGTGGCTGTCAAGGTTATGCAAAATATGCAGATGAGTGGCCCTCTTTCAGGCTGGAGCAGTAGTGCTGCTCAGTAGCCCTCCAGTGAAAGGGAGCATTGGGGAGCATGAAAGCTGAGGGGTACTTAGGGTCCCAAAAGTCAGGACAGGGCAAACATTCAGGGTTCAGGTGGGGAGCCTAGGCTGAACTCTCTGCTTATGCCACTGAGGACTCAGGATTCTAGGAAGGTCAGGTCAGAGCCCGAGCTGACCTCGCTCTGCCCGCCCCTCCCTGGTCCCTCACCCCTGACTGATGAGCTTTCCTGCCTCATGGAAACCTAGTCAGGCCCTCTGCTCCCTCTGAGACCTTGGCTGGGTCATATTTCTTCCTTTGCCTCAGTTTACCATCTTGAAATGGGAAAAAGGACCTCCTTGGTGCTTGACCACCCCCCCCAACCCTCTTCCGTACCTTAAAGGGGCAACCAGGGTTTCCTCCTACCTGCCTTTATTACTGAGGCAACTGAAGACGGAGGGACTGAGGTGATGGGGAGAGTAGCACAGAGTCCAGGTTTGGGGGAGGGGCTGGTAATCCCTGGAGCTTTTATGGCAACTGGGGAGCTGATGTGGAAGTGTGGGGTCACCGTGGAAACAGGTCAGTTACTATGGGGACCCTGAAAGGAAATTCCTGTTTTCCAAAGTGATAGGACAAGGGGAAGGTTAAACCCTGAGGGGTGTTATGGAGACCAGAAGGTCCATGCCTTTCAAGACCCCTTCCCCAGGTAAGGGGGAGAGACTGGCCCAGCCACCTAGGCACTTGGACCACTAGCCTCAGTTGTCCTTGCCCCTGGCAAAGTCCCCATCTTCCTGCTTCGTTCCTTGGCCCGAGGCCCTCCAAATCTGACCTCCAGTCGTCCTGGTGTAGCCAAAAGCCACCTTCAACGTGACGTTGCCATCCCCCTCACGCTGAGTGGGGAGACACCCACACATGAAGGAGGTCATCCTGGTCAGGCCCCACCCCACCCCACCCTATCCCATTTCTGCTTGCCTGTTCCAGGAGATGGGGTGCTCACTACCACCTAGGCAGCTCTGACTGGGAAGAGTCACCACTATGGAGCTTCAGTCTTCTCTCCCTACCCCGCTTCTATCACTAACCTGGGGTCCATGAAGATCCTCCCATTCCACCTGCCTGGGACAGCCAGCTGGGGAGTGGCCCATGGGACCTTGGCTCTGCCAGTGAACCAAGGTCTGCCACTCATCTGTCACTCATGGAGGTGGGCGGGGAGAAGATGAGTGTTGCCCTGGAATGCCAAGGGCTTGGGAAGGCAGAGCCCCTGAATTTGGGAGTGGAGCTCCCACTCACCTTACCACATGCTGGTGGGTGTGGTTGGAGAGCCTTTACCTGTTAAGCAAATAGATGGTTTTAAAGAGGCAGCTGAAACAGAGAGATTAATCGTTTGTTTTGTTTTTTCATTTTTATTTTATATCAGAATATAGTTGATTTACAATTTGTGTTAGTTTCAGTTGTACAGCAGTGATTTAGTTATACATATATCTATTCTTTTTCAGATTCTTTTCTCATATAGATTATTACAGAGTATTGAGTAGAGTTCCCTGTGCTATACAGTAGGTTCTTGTTGATTATCTGTTTGTTTCTTCATTTGTTTGTTTGTTTTTTGCGGTATGCGGGCCTCTCACTGTTGTGGCCTCTCCCATTGCGGAGCACAGGCTCCGGACGCGCAGGCTCAGAGGCCATGGCTCACGGGCCCAGCCGCTCCGCGGCATGTGGGATCTTCCCGGACCGGGGCATGAGCCCGTGTCCCCTGCATTGGCAGGCGGACTCTCAACCACTGCGCCACCAGGGAAGCCCTGATTATCTGTTTTATGTATAGTAGTGTGTATATGTTCATCCCAATGTCCTAATTTATCCCTCCCCCCAACCTTTCCCCTTTGGTAACCATAAGTTTGTTTTCTAAATCTGTAAGTCTGTTTCTGTTTTGTAAATAAGTTCATTTGTATCATTTTTTAGATTCCACATATAAGTGATAACATATGATATTTGTTGTTCTCTGACTTAGTTTGATCATCTCTAGGTCCATCCATGTTGCTGCAAATGGCATTATTTCATTCTTTTTATGGCTGAGTAATATTCCACTGTGTATATGTACCACAGCTTTATGCATTCATCTGTTGATGGACATTTAGGTTGCTTCCATGTCTTGGCTATTGTAAATAGTGCTGTTCATGATACATGAACATTGGGGCGCGTGTTATCTTTTCAAAGTATGGTTTTCTCCGGATATATGTCCAGGAATGGGATTGCTGGACCACATGGTAGCTCTATTTTTAGTTTTTTAAGGAACCTCCATACTGTTCTCCATAGTGGGCATACCAATTTACATTCCCACCAACAGTGTAGGAGAGTTCCCTTTTGAGAGATTAATATTTAGTAAGCTACCGAGTATAAGAATCAGGTCTGGACTCCAGAACCCATGCCCTCAACCACATTCAATTTGGCACCCCCGGCCTCTGAAGTACCAGACAGGGCTGCATCTTGGGGAAGGTGCTGACTCTGATGGGGATACATTTAAGCAGAGGAAACACAGAGAGCAAAGCGCATGCAGACTTGTGGCAGTGGGGACAGTGAGTAATATCCAGTGGGGCAGCCAGTGAATATGGCATGTGAGGCCGGAGATGAGGTGGGCACCACCCGTGGGGGGCTTCGGATGTCGGGGGGAGGGGGTGGACGTGCCCTGGGCCTGTGGTAGGGTGGCTGACTGTGTGCTCAGACAGTAGTGGTAACTGATGGGCCCTGGGGGCGCTGGGAACTATTTAAGGAACTTTGGGGATGGGGGATTTGGGGCAAGATCTGGTCCCTGAGACACAGGGCAAGCCAGGCCTGATGTCAGGTTCGGGGTAAGGCACACAGGTCTCAGGCAGCACGGTGTCAGGAGCTCAGTGGTCCCTGTCCCTCTGAAGGGCAGCCCCACCCACCCATCCACGCCTCAGCCGCCTGCCCTCAGCCCTCCCGGGTTACCTCAGAGTTCTGAGGAAGTGGCAGTTCCATGCTCACCCAGGACCTAACCAACCCGTGAGACCTCCCCTCCTCCAGCACTGAATGTGCTCAGGGCTGGTTGGGCATAGACTGGGGTCCCTACAGGGGTGACTCTGAGACCCCCATACCCACAGCTTTCTCCCCTGCTGCAAGGCCCTGGGAGGAGTGTGACTGCTCCTGACCTGCCTTCGTGGGAGGGGCAGGGTTGGGACCCTGGCCCAGTCAGGTTGGGGTGGGGACTGGGCTGGCCCACCAACGTTCCTGTTCTGAGCTGGAAAGGGAAGGAGGAGCCAGCGAGGCAGAGCTTTGAGAGGAGTGTGGGGCTGCTGAGCAGCACAGCCACCTCTTGCCGGCTCTGGAGCCTTCGGCATGCAGCACTGCCTCCATGCTCGAGGCCCCTGCTCTGCCCTGCCTCCCAGCCCCGGTGCCTGCAGGGACTCCCTCACCCCCCAGCACTGCAGCCTCAAGCCATGGGGCCCAGGTCAGAGCCAGGCCGAGAATTCCCCGGGAGAAGAGGTGAGACCCCCAGAGTCAAGACCGGCAGTTACCCCTACCCCTGCCTACTACTGTGCTTTAGAGACCCCTCATGGCCCTCCAGAACCCACAAAGGCTGCTGCCTTGATTGCCTCAGACCTGAACCCAGCCCAGCCTGGACCTGCTGGAGGTTTGCAGGACTGGACAGGCTGAGGGTGTGGTTCTAGGGACAGAAAGCAGGGGTGTGCAGAGTTTGAGGGGCCCGTCAGGTCTGGGAGGGCCAATCCAGGTGATGGCCATGAGGAGGGTGGGAGTTTCCTGCGTAAGTACCAAAAGCCCAAGTCACAGATGGCA